TATAAGACAATGGTATTTGTCCAAGGAAGTGTGTTTTGCACATATTGGTGAATGGGACAACAGGACTGTGCATAAGAGAACAGGATGGTGAAGAGAGATTTTATTCAAATTGTTTTTTTTACAGAGTTTAGGTAGTAGAATGTTGTTTGTCATTTTTATGCATAGAGTGACTTGTAATGCTTGGTATTTTTATGTGATATTTAGGCTACACAAAACTCAATTTTCCTAAGCACAGTATCACAGACTCTTGGCTTTTTGTTTTCTCTCACAATGTGAAAAACATTAGTCATTGCTGTACCGTAATCTAGTCACACAGTTTAATGAGCAATTTCCCATGAATGGGTTCACTGGAATTACTAATTTCTCTCTCTAAATCCTCATGTGCGTCTTTCCCCCAGTTTGTTTTTGTGGGCTGAAATTGAATTTTCTCCCCGGTCTTTCACTTGTAATCCCTATTAGCACCCTTTACTGTGGTTAATGTTTCTAAAGTGGAGAAACCCCAGTAGACCAGTTCATTTATTTGATTATTTTCATTATTTTGGGCATTTTTGCCTTTTATTTATGACATCAGAGAGCAGACAGAATAGTAAAGGTCTGTGCCTGTGATGCAGTTATTCTTATATGTCCTGAACATGTGCACAGCTACGTCATATTTAACCTGTTGTAATGCATTTTGAATTATTAATTGTTTTTTTAAATTGCCAAATGGCAAGAAAATTCGTATTTGATGCAGCCTCTTGTTGCTGTAATCTCATGTATCTGGACTTTTGACCTATTGGCATAAAGTCTGAAACGCATTACAGCTTTTTCTAACTTATAACTACCCACTTAGATGATACCCACTTTTTTTTAGGTAAATAGGAAATCATCCTCATGCACTGGATATGTGATGGATATGTCTTATTTAATTATGTAAATAGATTTGATGCTTGCAAACTTCAACAAGTCCAGCAAATACATTGAAAAAAATTGTTGTAGGGTTTACTTTGAAACAGTTTTCACGAATTTTCATCGAATTGCTAGTAAATTTCACAAATAATTACAAAGGAACTGAAAGTAACAGAATTAAAGATGACATTTTCAAGCAGAAAGACTGAAATAAGTTTTCTTGTCAAATGTATTAATATTTTACAACTTAGAAAAACAATTTTTTACAGTGTACTTCATCCTTGAAAGGGCCCAGAACACCGGAGTAGGACACAACTTCATTTTCTTTATCTAATACTGTAACTTCATAGGGCTTTTGCTGAATGTTACACACTGCACAGAGTATGTCAGTCATATCTATGTTCCAAGTCACTCACGTCAGCAGCATTCGCATTCTCATTCTGTTGTGTAATCTGCCCTGTCCTCTTAGGTTTCTAGATGACATAAACAATCTCATTCAGACTATGTTTGTATTTGTGATGTCAGACTTTGCCATTTTAAGCCAATGCACTAGGGATATGTGAGTCTGTTATCATCTCTCAGGCCTGTGCTCACTCAGGTGTGTGTGTGTTGTCACAGTGATGAATGTCTGGCCCAGCTGGCGTGGGCAGGAGCCTTTGGTGTTGCCACTGTGATGGACGAGGGCCACCAGAACAGTGGTGTTACTGCTGTGCCAGTCATAACCTTGAGCTCAACACACACACACTTTCTCTGACTGCTGTTGAGACCCCCTCAGAGACATCAGATGCCAGAGGTTTTTGGCAAGCTTTTGACTGCTCTAACACCATGCTGCTCCATTCTGTTTGACATTAAATTTTAAGTCATTTAAATATCTTTTAATGGTCACACCTGCATACATTAGCAGGGAAAAAAATGTATCTCAGTTTCCACAAAAATATTCAGCGACACAACTGTTTTCATTGACAATAATGAGAAATGTTTCTTGAGCGCCAAATCAGTATATTATAAGGATTTCTGAAGGATCATGTGACACTGAAGCCTGGAGTAAAGATGTTGAAAATTCAGCTTTGTCATCAAAAGAATAAATTACATTTTAAAATGTTAAAAGAGAAAACTGTTATTTTAAATTGTAATGATATTTCACAATATTTTTGTTTTTACTGTATATGTGATCATATAAATGCAGCCCTGGTGAGCATAAGAGACACATATACAGTGTTTTTTAAAGCCTTGCAAAACGGCAATAGTAACTTAAGAAAATTTTGGTGAAAGAACATGAACTTTTTTAATGTTTATGTCCCATTAAAATGTAATGATTTAAAGGGGGAGATGTAAATTGAATGATATTCCAATGAAAAAGAGAAAAACATTTTAATGTATTTATATATACCATTAATTTAGCCTTAGATCTAAGAAGAGTTCACTATACTGTTAATTATATCATTAGCAAGTCATGGGGGCACATACTAAACAAATGGCACTGTTTCCTAAGAGTGTTCTCGCGATATTGTGAATCATATAAAAGTGTGTTATTCCTGATGCCTGTGTGGGTCAGAAAATACAAAGAGTGACGGGATGACAGTGGCCAATGTTTCTTTTTGTCTTTTGATGGCTTGCTGTTCCCTTTAAAATGGCTGTCTAAGCAGATTCCCTCTTCACTTATGTAGTGCATTAAGAGACACATACACAAACACACTTTAAAAAAACTCTATAGGTACAGTTGGACGGGGACAATGACAGAAGTTTGGTACTGCACTCTGGAGAGAAAGATGGAGTCACAGAGGAGCAGCTTTCAGTTTGTCAACTGCAGCATGCTGGGCAGCCTCCATGTAATGAACTGGAATATATAAATGTTGTTCCAATCCTGTATGACGTTCTTTCTTCTGTGGATGACAAAAGACAATATTTAGAAAATGCCAGTGGTTTATTCTGTCCAATCAATGTTCAATGTTATTTCACCCCAATGACAAAAACATTTGAAACCTTCTTCAAAATATCTTATCTTGTCTTCCACAGAAGAATGTCATACAGATTTGGAATGACATTCATTTTTTGGGTGAAACGGCTTCCTTTTGCTTTGACCTCATGATTCTCATTTGTTCTGACATGCACTGTGAGCTGTAAGGTCTTATATAGACAGGTGTGTGGTTTTCCTAATCAAGTCCAATCAGTATAATCAAACACAGCTGGACTCGAATGAAGGTGTAGAACCATCTCAAGGATGCTCAGAAGAAATGGACAGCACCTGAGTTAAATATATGAGTGTCACAGCAAAGGGTCTGAATACTTAGGACCATGTGATATTTCAGTTTTTCTTTTTTAATAAATCTGCAAAAATGTCAACAATTCTGTGTTTTTCTGTCAATATGGGGTGCTGTGTGTACATTGAGGGAAAAAAATTAACTTAAATGATTATAGCAAATGGCTGCAATATAACAAAGAGTGAAAAATTTAAGGGGGTCTGAATACTTTCCGTACCCACTGTATATCCCCTACTTTTACAAACACATTTACTCTCTGGGGTCGGGGTGAGTGAAGGATTATGTTCTACAAATTGGTTTTGAATTTTTAGGGCTTGTCTGATTTCATAACTATTCACTGGAGCCTCAGGGTGTGATCCGTGATGCCGTGTAATTATGTTACAATGACCTCTCCTTTATCAAATCATATCACATGCTGCTCACCTCCCATAGGAACATCATCCTTCCTTCCCTTTCATGTCTTCCTCATCTCTCCTCTTTTCTCATTGCATTCCTAGTTGGCTATTAAAAGATTCATTTCCAGTTCATTAATGAAGCCAGGTGGCTGGATTAAAGAAACCCTGTTAAAGAATGGAATTTTCACCCCCTGTTAAGTCAAAGGTCAAATCTGAGATTCTGTTTGAACCGTTTTTGGAATAATCTCTCTAAATCATCTGCTAATGTGGTATAGTGCGACTACCATAGTCAAGTGTCTTATTAGTATTCACCTTTCATTGCTTGAGATGTTTGCTCTTAACAGAGGTCATGGGAAATCATAGAAAATTAGATTTTCTTGCTCTTTTGATATAAAAATAGCTTGATGTACTATGGAGAAATACTCATATTCACAATGCAGAGCTTCCCAGCCAGTCCGCCAAGACCCTTTTTGGAAATTAAGCTGTAAAGATAGGTAATTCGTGATTGTTTTCTTGAATACATTAACATATGTTTAAGTGAAAATGAAAGTGGTGTCCCATACTTGGAATTTGTGCTCTGCAATTTAACCCATCCAAGTGCACACACACACAGCAGTGAATATTGAACACACACACACACCGTGAACACACACCCCGAGCAGTGGGGCAGCCATTTCTGCGCAGTGCCCAGGGAGCAATTGGGGGTTCGGTGCCTTGCTCAAGGGCACCTCAGTCATGGCTATTGAAGGCGGAAGAGAGCGCTGTTAATTTACTCCCTCATCTACAATTCCTGCCGGTACTGAGACCTGTGACCTTTGGGTTACAAGTCCGACTCTCTAACCATTAGGCCACGACTGTGTCATGTGTTATATGTGCCCATGTTTACATATCGAAGGCTATTTAGTGTTTAGTAATTTAGCGGTGATGTTGATCCTTGTGTCACATGCAAAGAGTTCAGCCAGTCATAACAGAGGTCATTTAAAGATGTCATAAATATATGGTAGCAAAACATTCTTTTTTTTAATGATGTTCTACGAGATTTCTTTCCGAAGGGCAGAGAGGCTTTTTTGGTGCAAGAAACTGTTACTTTATCCTTGGACTTCAGGGGAAAGGATGTGAGAATATGTCCACTCTAAGGTCTCTTTGGAAAACCTGTAGTGCTTTATTTTGGTGTGAAGATGATAAAGTGTCTGTGTTTGTAACTTTTTCAGGTAGCAGGCATGTCTACAATAAACTCTTACTCACAACTTTGAGGCTTGTATAGATGTAATATGTGAACTTCTTGAGTATGGTGTTGAAAACCAGCTGTCATACATACAGTAAGGTGTAACTGTCTTCTGTATGTTTTAACCCACGGTGTCTCATTGTAGGTGTGAAATATCGCTGGCAGCTTCTCAAGTGTTTGCTTGTACCTGTGTTTGCGTGTAACACACTGTGTGTGTTTTGTGTGTTTCAGGTGTGAAGATGAGGAAGTTTGCGTACTGTAAGGTGGTGCTGGCCACCTCTCTGGTGTGGGTGATGCTAGACATGTTCATCCTCCTCTACTTCAGTGAATGCAACAAATGTGACGACAAAAAAGATAGAGGATTGCCGGGGAGAGAGAGTGAGTACATGCCTACATGCAGTTGTGCTGTATATCGTATAGTTATCACATAGTTTTCTGTTTAATAATAAATACGCCCTAACACTTCAATTTACAGACACATTTTGGCCATTTTACTTCTGAAATGTTTTCTTCATGAAATATTGTTCAAACTTTATATTTTTTATATTGTAGTAACAATAATTGTAATAATTAAAAAAAAATTTAAGTTACAATGATACATTCTTTGTAAGCGGCCTTCTCAGTACAGGTTTTGCCAGATTTTACTGGTTTGTTTTTTTTGTTTAGTTTTTTTTCCCTATTTTTATTTATTCTCTTTTTATATAATCAATCTTTTTTTAATATTTGGTGAACACAAGAATCGACAAATAAAATATATACACGTTTAATATTAAAATAAGGACATACATAGGAATAGACATGTGTTGTTTTTACAGTTTATAAAAAGCTGACTGACATGAAATCCAAACCTTACCTCTAAAATAACTTTTGCATTTTTACAATTACTGTAAATACATAATTTTTTAAGGGATGGGAGTCATAATTAATTTAAAGATTCTGATTGTAAATCAGAATTTGGTATGCATTTGGTAATGCATATTCGGGCTTTTGAGGAAGTACCAAATAACTGATAATTGATCTTGTTTGTACACTGAACAAAATTATAAACGCAACACTTTTGTTTTTGCCCCCGTTTTTCATGAGCTGAACTCAAAGATCTAAGACTTTTTCTATGTACACAAAAGGCCTATTTCTCTCAAATATTGTTCGAGAGAGGTGTTCTCTTCACGGATGAAGCCCGATTTTCACTGTACAGGGCAGATGGCAGCGTGTATGGCGTTGTGTGGGTGAGCGGTTTGCTGATGTCAACGTTGTGCATCGAGTGGCCCATGGTGGCGGTGGGGTTATGGTATGGGCAGGCGTATGTTATGGACAATGAACACAGGTGCATTTTATTGATGGCATTTTGAATGCACAGAGATACCGTGACGAGATCCTGAGGCCCATTGTTGTGCCATTCATCCACGACCATCACCTCATGTTGTAGCATGATAGTGCACGGCCCCATGTTGCAAGGATCTGAACAGTTAATGAAAAAGTCTGTGAAAGTGATTTTGTGCCTCTTTGAGATGGCACAATAATGCGTCGTTCACTTGCAAAACGCAAGCTTCTAGAGGGCACATAACTCTGAAGTAATGAATTTAGGTAAAGGGGTGCAGAGCCAGTAGTGGTTTATTTATAAAATATTAAAACTAAAAATACTAAGCAAATCCACTGCCATTTTTCATATAATTTAAGTTCTATTTATTATATAAAACTGTTTAGTGAGTATGTTTAACTACAAATTACATTGTTACACATTATGAGCCACTAATTATACCAATTCAAGTCCCATGAAGCTTAAGTAGCTGCATCGTAACACAGTAACAGATCTTGTTCTTTATTTCAAGTCGATATGACCAGTATTCATCTCTGGTTATTGTGAAAAAATGAAAGTAACAGATCTTGTTCTTTATTTCAAGTCGATATGACCAGTATTCATCTCTGGTTATTGTGAAAAAATGAAAACCGTTTCTCGATTCCCAACCCTATTATTTACTGTCGGAATCTTTTTTCCAATTTGAAGACATCCCTGGATGGTCCTAAAAGGAGGTTTTGTCAGATTTTATCTAGCCTCTTGGGACAGTTTTATCCCCAAAGTATACTGTAACTAAATAACTCCAAACACACATACAGCTGATACGGGAAACACTCGACAGCACACACAAAAGTATAAAGACTATTTCCACTAGATGTATGTGTCTGATGGTGTTATATTGTGAAATACGGGCAGGTATTGAACTGTGAATATTTCTGTGGGAGAGGAAAAGAGTGTAGAAATATAATCTGATCATTTTAGAGCTGTATTGACTACATCATCTGAAGGATGCAACCACATTCCAGCTGTGCTTAGCTTAGAGGATGGAGAGAATGAAGAATGGAAGGAATCTAGAGCAGTGGTTATCAACTGGTGGGTCCATTCTGATCTGATCTGATGTAGTCATGGGCAGTAGGTGAAAAACAAAGCTAAATGCAAATAAATCAATTCAGCTTAGGATATAAATGGAGAAGAAAATGCTTCCTATTTTTTATGTAGTTTATGTCAATGACATTCAAACGCTATGGTTTTTGGTTTTTTATTCCATTGTAATAATGATAAATGACAATATTTGATTTTAAGGACATTTAGTTTTTATAAGTTAAACAGTTATATTACAGTGATTAATCTCAATATAAAGGTAAAATATGAATCTGAAAGCAAAACCAGTCGGGAACCGTTGTTTTAGAGACTACAAAAAGGAGCAGAAAGAAGATCTAGAATTTGGAAGGAACAGTCACAGAGAAAAAGCATGTGGATGGCGATGCAGTGTGAAAGCATATTGTCTCATAAAGCTTTCTTTTGTCATTAACTGACCCCTCTACAGCCCCCCCCCGCCCCCAGTCAGGTCACGGTTTGTTCTCTGTTGGTCACTCATGAGCTGCTTTACTTTGGCCATCATCTCATAGAACAATAACCCTAAAATAATCTGCTCACCACATTAATAAAGCACATTTTCTGCTGCTTGTGCTTGTGTCCTTAGTGATGATTATACGATTTTCACCCCCCAGAATCCCTCAGGAAAGTCATTGGATTTTGCTGAGCAGGGAAACAGGACAAAGTTGCCTTGTAATGAACTCAGTCCGAACAGCTAAATCCTGCCCCCTCAACACGCATGCGGCTCACCCGTACATACACACACAGTGTACGCAAACGTGCGACACAGGGCTTAAAAACAGGCAGTTTGCCTCTTAGAGCAGATGTAATCTCACACTGTTGCAAATCTGACCTTAATCTCACCAAAGCATGCTTTTTGAATTAATGATCAAAGCTCAGTGCTTATCTACTCACACAAAATCCACAAAAACACACACTTCACACACACACGGCACAATAAACAATTGTGCACAGACATCTAGGCCACAAATTCTTTTCGGCGGGCAGGATGTATATAAAAGTTTGTATGTACTTTTTAGTGCTGTCAAACGATTAATCGCGATTAATCGCATCCAAAATAAAAGTTTTTGTTGGCATAATATATGTGTGTGTTCTGAGTATATTTATTATGTATATATAAATACACACAGTATATATTTTGAAAATATTTACATGTATTAACATGTCTATTTATATTGATATAATTTATATTTAAAAAAATATATTTAATATATAAACATAACATATTTTTCTGAAATATATACATGCATGTGTGTGCATTTATATATACATAATAAATATTCACAGCACACATACATATATAAACAAAAACTTTTATTTTGGATGCGATTAATCGTTTGACAGCACTAGTACTTTTACACATTTGTGGTTGCATTTTCAACATTCTGAACAATTCTAGCGCAAATATTATGATTGATTTTTTTTTTTTTAGTTTGCGTACTTGTTTGACAATGAGAGTACAGTGTCACTGAAGAGCGTGACTGGGATGAAATGTGAAACGTGATATGTAAAAATCAACAAAAATATCCCTTTGGAACAGGATATTTTTATTGTGCCATTTCCAATTTTGCTAAAGTGTGACAGCGATATTTCATTATGTGTATTACATAAAATGTGAGCTGTGCAAAATATCCTTAGAAAGACAAATGACTCAAGTATATTATTATAAAAATGTTCAAAATGTAATTTGCAGCACTGTCATTTCCATCACAGAAAACATAATTTGTGATGTGGTGGAAGTGCTGCTGTGTGTTGTGGGTTTTCATTAATAAATTACAAAAATAACAAAATTCTCCTTTGATGAATCCACTTTTGGACAGATGAAATAAACTAGTGAGAGCATGATGGGTTTATTTTCTAAAAGTTCCCAAAATTGGCAATAGTTGGAGAAACGCCCATACTTACTCAATCGAAAGCCAAGAAAACAATCTCAAATCCATGTGTGTTTGTGTTCCAGCTGTGGTTCAAAGGCCTCATGACGGCCCAGGGGAGATGGGAAAGCCAGTGGTTATCGCTAAAGACCAACAGGAGAGGATGAAGGAAATGTTTAAGATAAACCAGTTTAACCTGATGGCCAGTGAGATGATTGCACTCAACCGCTCTTTACCGGACGTGCGTCTCGAGGGGTGAGTGTCTGCTTATTTATGATTGCTTCCTTTAAAGTGAGTTTGTTTTTGTTTAATAGATAAATTTTATGCCTGTAACTGACCAAATGAGTATTTTGAAATGGAGCTAATGTTTTGAGCTGTGAGGGCTGGTTTTTGGCTGTTTGACTTTAGAGAAACTGATGTGATAAATATGTGTTCTGTGTGAATGGCTTGGTTTCAGTTTCGCCCGTAAACAACATATTCGCCACTCTGATGGTCTCGTTTTCCGCTATATATTGAATATTCGAAATTCTAATTTTTTTTTGACAGCCCTATAGTAAAGTCACTAAAGAATTAAATAAATACCACAAATAGAAGTATGGGAGGTGTACACACTCACGGCTTTCTCTTAACTAACTTCATATAATGCATCCTGGGATCCTTACAGTTTCCATGTATGCTGAGCACTTCTAGGTTGCTTTTCCTACACTACACAGTGTAATATTGTAGTTTTGTAGAGAAATTCATACATACAAGTAGGGCTGGGCGATAATTCGATAACGATAACTATCGCGATATAATTTTCCTCGATAAAACGGTATGAAGGGTTCGATAAATGTTCGATATAATGTTTATGTGCCAAAAAGCGAAACGAAACAGCGCGACACATTTGAATTGCGCCACACGGACCGCTTATCCGCTCGGATCTAAGGTCAAACTGCCCGGCGGCGCGAGCTCACTAGAGCAGATGCGTTTACTCGGTCACGCGAGCATTAAGCAGCGCTGTGAGATCCAGTGTGAAGCGCTTGAATTCAGGAATGAACACAAATGACTCTGATTTAAACTTGTTTAAAGCCAAACAGGAGAAACACTGTGTGCAACGAGACAGTCAGAAGGCTTTTTAATCTACAAATCGCCATCATTTACCATGGATTTACTGTAGTAACACTCACTGCACCATGGTATTGTGGCAAAAATTTGGGATATTCACACTGAATTTTATTACAGAAGTAATGGTAGGCCTATATAATTGTAATATGTATTTGTGAATAAGCTATTGCATGTGTGCATTTATACTGAATGTTTTTAGACTACTGTTTTTCATACAAATAGGCTACCTAAAAACCATATATTTATATTTTTACCATGGTATTGAGGTGATATATGTGTGGTTTTAACTGGGTTTATCATGATTTATTACACGGCTCTGTGGAATACTTGATTCTGATTGGTCAGTCGCGACATTTCGAGGTATGCTATCCCTCGATAACAACCGGTAAAAGCTAATATCACAGGCTCATCCGGGTAACAGCAGTCGGTGCTGTACTCTTGCTTGAACAATTTTTTCTTGGTGGAAGCTTTGCGTTTGTTTAGCTAATGAAATATTAAAACTCGATTCAAAATGGTGTTCAATTATTTAATTGTCGTCCTGGTATCGCGGACTCGCTCTCGTTTCATACAAACGCAGCTGCTGCCATTTTGCTACGATTGTTTTGTATGCTGTAATGGATTATAAGAGAACTAACAAACTGGTAAGGTTTTTAAATATTTTCGTCTGAATTCTTTTATTGCCTTAATTATTTTTGTGGTGAAATGTTGTGTAATAAGTGGTTTGACTGCACCGTTTCCCTTAAATGTCAGTCTAGTTTGAATTTGCCGCTTGCTCGCAACTGCTGTCTTCACGGAAGCTTTGCGTTCAAATATTTCAACTTTGAAATCTAATTATTTACTTATGTGGCAAGTAGCCATGTAATAAGCTTCGCTCCGCTTCGCGTCGGGGTCTTGATCACCCTTTCGGGGTTTATTCTGAGATAACAACCGGCTGGATGTACATTATCCCTTACTTAAATGTATGTTACTATGGGAGACCGATGCTTAATTTAAAAATAAATAAATAAATAAATAAATAAAAACTTGGTCAGAATAAAGTTGCTACAATTTTTAGATATGTTACTGATTTTGATAATGAACAAAAATTTCAAATTTCAAAACTATCAAATGTGCATTTCTAAGAGACAAAAAGTGATATAATTATTATTAATATTATCAGGCAACCCAAACCTGCTTCTTGATTTAAAACAATATCACTCATTAGAACATGCAGAAACGAAGAAATATATTTTTCTATTTAGATATTTATTTTGTTAAGGAAAATTAATTGTCTGGTTTCTACAACTTTCACTTTGGAGCAAAAATCTGGCTTTAAACTTGAAAGAAATAAAGATTTGACATATATCATGATAATTATTGATATCAACTGATATGAAAAAAATGATCGTGATAATTTTTTTGACCATATCGCCCAGCCCTACATACAAGTATATTAGTCTAAAAACTATTTTCAAATGAAAAGCTTTTAAGATTTAAAGACTTTTTGGCAGTCAGGTGTGTCGTTCTGACCACAAACTGTCAACTTAGACAGGAAGTGACCATCTGTTCGATGTATAAGCAACATTTTTTTTTTACATGCAGATTGTCTGAAATGTAGATTAGTTTGTTGTACAAACCAGAGTTTATATGGTTTGTTGTTTTGCAGAGTTACGGGATATGAATTTCTGCTCATCCAAATTATTACACAATTATTCAGAAATTTGGGGTCAGTAAGATTCTATTTTACTTTAGAAGAATTTTATATTTTCATTAAACAAGGATGCAATAGATTGATAAAAAGACTAATTCCATTTATACTGTCACAAAAGATTTCTATAAAAAAAGTTATCTAAATATAAACTACATTTTAAAGTCTATTAAAATAGAAAAGTGCTCTTTTTAATTGTAATTATATTTCACAATGTTGCTGTTTTTTCTGTATTTTTGATCAAATTAATGCAGCGTTGGCAAGCACAAGAGACTTTTAAAAACATTTTTAAAAATCTTACCGACCTCTAACTTTTGAACAGTAGCATACAGTTACGTAATTATAGTAATATGTGCAACAAGAACACTGGAAATAAAAAGTATTTTTTTTTAAATAAAAGTATAATAAAAAGTATTACAGATAATTTCAATAAAATGAAATAGCTATTTAATATTGTAGTACATGTTTTCACTGAGCCTTTTCGCGAAGTCATGTCCAAACTCATAGTTACATTTGCACAAGCCACTGGACTGTGAACTATGTAGTATGTGGTGAATTGTTTGATGTGTCGCAGTCATCCACCCTAAGTGTTTTTTAAACACCTTTCATCCTCTAAGCGCTTGCCACGTCAAATATTAACTGCTAATATTTGTGTTGTAGAGATTAGTCAGATTACTGTGAGTGTGTGGATGTGTGTATTTTTCACACTACGTAATATAGCTTCTATTTCTGTTACGCTTTGCAATATTAAGTTCACTGAGGTGAGACAGAGAAAAGGAGAGATGTGTAGAGAAGATGTCACATTCGTCCTTGAGAAAGCAAAGAAAAGGACGTTTGTGTGTGTGTGCGCGTGTATTTGTGACACTTTTTTGTTCTGTGTGATATCGCTCCAAACAGTTCCCTCTCCGTTCCCACTGCACTAAATAATGTGGAGTTTGTCCCTCTGCAGTGGACACACATTCTTTCAAGAGGCCTTGCCTTAAAAATGTATGGTTTTAATAAGTCCCTGGATGTTCTCTCTTTCAAGGCGTGACCATGGAAACTATTCCACCATAATAATAATGTCACCCAGGGTCTCGGAGCCAAGTAAAGCAGAAGCACGTCTACAGAGCAGACGTAATATATTCACACACTCGCATACAGCTGCACGTCAAGCATCACGTCAAGTGTGTTTAATGAACTAAATCGTTTGCATATGCATCCTGGCAGTGCCTCGCGGAGTGATAAATCACTGGGTCACTGGAGGGAACTGCAGGTCTGATAAAAATGCCAGGTCTATTGGTGTTTAATGAGTTTTGTAATTACGTAGGGCCAAACCTCTACCTCTTTCTTTTTGTTTTAAATGATCTGATGTATTGTCAAACTGAGACTCTCTCTGTGTGTTTGGAGGTGTCAGTTTCTCTACCTGTCAGACAGCAGTTAGTATTGTTTGTTTTAGAATGCTCATATTTCCCTTGTAAAAATAAGAAAATAAATAATACAGTGAAAAAGTAATATTGTGACATATTACATTTTAAGATAACTGTATTCTATTTTCATGTATTTTAAAGTGCCCCTATTGTGCCATTTCGAATATTGCCTTTCATGCAGTGTGTAATGTAGCTGTATGTGAATGTAAACGATCTGCAAAGTTGTAAATCCGAACGTGCACGATAAAATTATTGTCTCCCAAAAGAAAGAATCAACTCTCAGCAGCCAAAGCGTGTCGTCAGTAATTCGAATCCCATTTCTGTGATGGCTACACGTCACAGGGCAATATATTTGCGTAATGCTCACCTATGTTCTAAGTTGGCCGGCCACAAACTTGACCTTGCTCTCAAATACTGTAGCTTGTTCATGTGGTCAACCTCATATTGAGAAGGCGCTGTGTCCTACGCTGTGAAAGTAAATTCATTTTATTTTCACTTCCAAAAGATGAGGCTGCAAAGAATCAGTGGTTAAAATTCTTTCCCCCCCCCTCTTTTTTGTGTTTCTTGTAATTTTACTGACAACTGCTTCTTTAATCTTGGGGAGTTCAACACAGGATTCACAAAACGCTTGCTCTTGACCAGTTTATTTGAACCAGTTGGCTCCACTGAATCACAACCTGTATGATAAAGAATTGATGTTTATATTTTCTACTGAGCGTTCAAAATACCGAACTATTGCCATGGGCATATGGTTTCCGTCACGTGCTGTAGGCAGTAGACCAATCAGAACAGACTACTGGGTCATCTGACCAATCAGAGCAGAGTAGGCTCACGGAAAGAAGGGTTTTAGAGAGACTGAATTTTAGAATTGCTTCGAACAAATCGTTTGAGAATCGTTGGAAAAAGAGGTGATATTAAATGCATATTTTAAGAAAACGAAAGCATTTTTTTGACCTTGAATGCATGTAAACGTATTATAGGAGACTCCCAAAACAATATTAGAAACCTTAAAAATGGCATAATGTGGGCACATTAAAATGTAATTTATTCCT